TTTTTTTTTTTTTTTTTTTTTTTTTTTGAGACAGGGCTTCTCTGTGTAGCTTTATCCAAAGCCAGATAGGACACACCAAATTCCACCTGGACTGTGGAGATGCTAACCGCTGGGCAGAACTGCCCCCAGCCTCACCTGTTGCCAGGACTCTGCTCAAACTGTAGATAATTTTGGGGGTTGATTGACATACTTCGCCTGGTCAAAGTAAGGTCAGTCCCCCAAGTTGCCCCTCTCCCCAAAAGATCTCAGACCTGTGCCCGGCAGCCAAAGACCTGCGCTGCTCTGTGACGTCAGCATAAGACCGCAACTACTGCCCCCAGCAAAACTACGGAGTCTACCGGAGTCTACCGGAGCCTACGGTCACCTGTGTAGGTAATGGGCTGCTGGAAGCAAAGACCTGTATTTTGTTTACAGCCATCTTAAGTTCACAAGTAAGATATTCGCCTTTGCAGGACAAATTCCGGACCTAGAAAATCAACCTAGTGAGACCTGCAGGCCCCAGGCTTTTAGAAACAATTAGCATTTCCTTTGTTAGTCAACAAGCACAGACCCCCCAGTATTTCATCAGCTGGGGTGTCTCCGGACCTGAATTCCAGCAGACCTGGCACCCTCCCATCTCCCTTGCCCATTTGATCGGAAATCCTGTCTTGCTGTCCTTTCTCATGTCTCTTGTTCCCTCCCTCCACTCCTCTTCCTCCTCTAGGTTTATCAGGGACCCCCATTTGTATCCGCTGGCCGGGATAATGGGTGTCTGTCATTTTAATTGATGTATAGACTGTTTATATTTCCAGTTACAATGTGCGCTTCTCAGATCTCTGAGGCCATTGGCTATAACAGCACCCACCTCAATAACCACCTCAACTGTTGGACCAGTTTAACAACTAGTTATTTACTAATTAACAATCAACATGGACAAAATACTGCTGATGGCTAACATTTTACACTTAATTTCCCCCAACTTTCTAATTATGAAAAATTTCAAGTATGTAGAAAATTTGAAAGAGAATACTAAGTGCCCATCACCTAATTCAATATTTGCTGCTTCATAGGCGCATGTAAGCTTTGGAACATCAAAACCGATTGATAAACTACATTTTTTTTTTTTATTACAGCCGATGGCCTTTTAGTTGGAGAAAACAGGACCATTTGGCTTTTCTGGTTTTTTTTTTTTCCAGTCTCTTTATACCATTAGCAGGATTTAATGATTGATGTTGAAAGAAAAACATTCCTGTGAAAATAATTACAACCTCTTATATTGCCAGTCACGGCACCAGACACATTTAGATATGTTTTCAGAGCAACCCCCGAGAGCCCTGCGGTGTGTGCTGATGTCATTCGTGGTTTATAAAAGAAATGGAGACAAGCAGAAGAAAAGGCGCTGTCTGTCCCTCCTTCTTCAAGCCCTCGTGTGTGTGTGTGTGTGTGTGTGTGTGTGTGAGTGTGTGTGTGTGAGTGTGCATGGTGTGTGTGTGTATGTGCGCGCACGGTGTATGTCAGCTCTGGAGACCACTGGACGGGAGCTCTATTATGAGTCTGCAGAAACCAAATACTTTTAAAGATTTTTATTATTATTTTTTTTAAAGATTTATTTATTTATTATGTATACAACATTCTTTCCATGTATGTTTGTATGCTAGAAGAGGGCACCAGATCTCATTATAGATGGTTGTGAGCCACCATGTGGTTGCTGGGAATTGAACTCAGGACCTTTGGAGGAGCAGGCAATGCTCTTAACCACTGAGCCATCTCTCCAGCCCCCGATTTTTATTATTTTTATTTTAAAATTATGTCTCTGTAGCCCGGCAGTGGTGGTGCATGCCTTTAAACTCAGCACTCAGGAGGCAGAGGCAGGGGGATTCTGAGTTTAAGGCCAGCCTGGTCTACAAGAGCAAGTTCTAGGACAGCCAGGGCTGCAAAAAGAAACCCTAGAAAAATGAAGCAAACCAAAGCAAATCATGTCCCTGTGTCCGTGTGTACAGGGGTTTGCAGAGTCCAGAAGAATGGGCCAGAGTTCATGTGGTTTACATGTATGTGGTTATGAGCTGCCCAACAGTGCTGGGAACTGAACCTGGGGTCTTCTTGAAAAACCTGGTGCTCTTAACCACTGAGACTTTGCCCCAGTCCCAGAAACCAAATCGTTTTAAGTCACCAGCCTCTGGCAGGGGAGAGTGAATGTGTGGACAGACTGGGAACCCATTACCCCGGTAGCAGTGAAGAATAGGCCATGCTGTGGCAGACGAACCAGGCAGTCGGAGAGCGTGTCCCGCGTCTGCTCTTACTAACTGCCTGCAGTGCAAATGGTCCATAAGCTAAAAGCTGCTAATTTGAATAGTTCTGGAACTGTGCCATGTGGCTGGAAGGCAGGCACACATCTTTTCTTTTTAAAAACAATACAAAATTTACTTTATTATTAATTATTGTACGTGAGTGCATCTGTGTGTGAGTGTAGGCACATGCATGCCAATGGTGCATGTGTGTGCATGTGTGTGTTCATGTTCATGTGTGTGCATCTGTGTGCATGTGTGTGCGTGTGTGTGCATGTGTGTATGTTTGTGTGTGTGCCTGTGTGTATGTGTGCGCACATGTGGTGTGTGTGTGTCAGGACAGTTGTTGGGAGTCAGTTTTCTTCTTCTACAATGGGTTCTGGGGAAACAGTTTCTTTTTTGTGTTCCTCTTTAGGAGGCTGTTTCCGTGTTGAGCCTGCACGGTCTAATCTGTACCCATATTTAAACCGTTAGAGCAAGCTTAGGGGTTAAACATTTTACTATCGTGTCTTATTCATAAAGTCAAAATTGGTGAATTTTACTTACTTCTGGGGTCTGGGCAGCTGAGCTCCACACAACTGGCCTTTGGAGAAATACGACCTGCTTTGTAGCCAAATTCCCTTCACTGAAAGTTAAAACAGCAAGATTGATATTTGAGAATTAGGATTTTTTTTTAATCCCAGAGAACTTTCAATTAGTTTTTAAAGTTAAGAAACCAGCAACTGGATTTCTGTGGCATTTCCACGCCACGCATATGGGTCATTATTCTTGTCCCAGCGAATTAGTAGTATTCTCTAGATTTACATCTGACTAGGCTGGCCCATATATATCTTTTGTAGGATAACCTTCTGATTCCCAAATAATTATGAAAATCATTCTATTTAAATTACATTGGAAAAACAAAGAGAAAAACATTTCTATTAAAAAATTAATTAAGAGCTGGAGAGATGGTCCAGCCATTAAAGTTAGGCTCACAACCAAAAATATAAAAAAATAATTAAAGGGGCTGGAGAGATGGCTCAGGGGTTAAGAGCATTGCCTGCTCTTCCAGAGGTCCTGAGCTCAATTCCCAGCAACAAGTTGTCTCACAACCATCTGTAATGAGATCTGGTGCCCTCTTTTGACGTGCAGGCAATGCAGGCAGAACACTGTATACATAATAAATAAATCTTTAAAACAAAACAAAAACATCCATTTACATAAAAATAAAGGAAATTTAGCCAGGCTTGGTGACGCACACCTTTAATCCCAGCACTTGGGAGGCAGATCTCTGTGAGTTCAAGGCTAGCCTGGTCTACAAAGCGAGTTCCAGGACAGAAACCCTATCTTGAAAAAGCCAAAACCAAACCAAAATAACAATAGTAAAAACCCCCAAACCCAAAAAGCATTAATTAACTAATTAATTAATTAGCTAACTAACTAATTAAAAAAGGGTGTTGGAAAGATCACTCAGTGGTTAAGAGCACTTGCTGCTCTCCCGGAGGACCTGGGTTCAGTTCCCAGCACCCCCATGGTGGCTGCTACCGACTGTCACTCCAGTTCCAGGGGATCCAATGCCCCCCTTTCAGTCCCCGTTGGCACAGGCACGCACACGGTGCACGGCAAAACATCCAGACACAGACGAATGAAATGAGAAGTGGAGCGTTGACTCAGGGATCAGAACGGGAACTGCTTGGGCTGGCGCGAAGGGCTGAGTGGTTAAGAACAGGGCTGCTTTTCCAGAGGTTCAATTCCCCTAATGGACAAGACAGCTTACAGCTACTTATGACTCCAGTCCCAGAGATCGGATGCCCTCTTCTGGCCTCCGAGCGCAGGCGTCTACGTGACGCACATCAGTGCAGGGCAGGCACTCCCGCGCCTTAAAATAAACCTACAGGGATTTTTCAACGGAGCTCTTGCAGAGGACCCGAGCTCATGTCATATATATTCTTTCTATGAATTACTTCCTTAAGATAAAGTCTCAGGAATGAGATGATTAGGCCAGAAAGTATGACTTAATGTCAAACTGGAGACTAAACTTGGGAGCCACATGTGGGGAACTGACCCGTATGTTCCACTGAGACGGTTCAGCCATAGCCGGCTCCCCGCGTTTCAGACGCCCCTTTGTAGCCGCCGCTCAGGGTTCCCATTTAGCTGTCAGCTTGGCAAATGGCCCCTAGCTGGAGCCGACTGGGGTGGCAATTCCTCTGAAGAGCTTCCAGCCCCCGTGGGTGTGGGGAGGAGTGTTCGCAGCTAAAGCTGCTCGGTAACAACTTTTATTATGCAAAGGACCCCAACAAAACCGTCCTCTTAGCAGCCCGCGATTCTGTGCTTTTCTGGAGGGTGGGTGTGAGGGAGCTTTGGCCCTGCGGCGGTGTGCAGTCAATGGGACACTAGCAGAGCGTCCAAACTATGGGGGCCGCTAATTTGGGGAAATGAATCGTCCCCCAAAGTGCTCGGAAGAGACTGTCACACTTTTTATTTGTTCAAAAAGTATATATTTTATGTGCATTGGTGTTTTTCAATGGGAAAAGGGAAGTTACAGATGGTTGTGAGCCAGCACATGTCTGCCAGGGATAGAACTCAGGACCTCCAGAAGGGCAGCCAGTGCTCTTAACCACTGAGCCATTTCTCCAGCCCTACAATTTTAATTTTAGAAGACTTTTTATAGTCCAGTTTCATTTCTGTTTGATCTCCTGTTTGAACAGAACACTCCGGGTGATGTGATGTTGGGGGATAAATCGTGAGGCGTTACTGGGAAGGGTTAGCGTATAGAATGGGCTGGTCTGTGTTTGGGAGTCCCGGGGTTCACTGAAACAGCCAGGACTCGGGATCCAGACAGTTCCTGGGTTCAGACCCAAGCCCTGTCACAGAACCCAAGGTTCATGGTCTCTGGCTTCTGTGTTGGGGAAGATTATTTTCAGGTGTGTGACTTTTGTTTATGCTGCATTTGTTTAACTCTGTGAAGCTGTGATTCTTGGCTTGTCTAAAACACCTGGTGGACTAATAAAGAGCTGAACGGCCAATAGTGAAAGAAGAAGAAGAAGAAGAAGAAGAAGAAGAAGAATAAAAATAAAAAGAAGAAGAAGAAAGAGAGAGAGAGAGAGAGAGAGAGAGAGAGAGAGAGAGAGAGAGAGAGAAAGAGAAAGAAAGGAGAAGGAGGAGGATGAAGGAGGAGGAGGATGGAGAAGGAGGAGGTGGTGGCCAGGGGTCAGCCCCCATCCAGCCAGGAAGTAAGATTGTAAGATATACCGAAGTAAGAAAAGGAAAAAGTCAAAGGCAAAAGGTAGACAGGATAATTTAAGACAAGAAAAGCTGGCTAGAAACAAGTCAAGCTAAGGCTGGCCATTCATAAGTAAGAATAAGCCTTCATGTGCGATTTATTTGGGAGCTGGGTGGCAGGCCCCTCAAAAAGAGCAAAAAGTCAAAAGAGTAATAAGAGTGAAACATGACTACATTCCTCTGGGTACCTACTCAGAGAAACATAGTGTGCGATTTCTGGGGCTGGAGAGCTGGCTCGGCGGAAAAGAGCACTTGCTGTTCTTGCAGAGGACCCCGGTTCTGTTCCAGCACCCACACCATGGGGGCGCGCGACTGTTGGTAAGCCTAGTTCCAGAGGATCTGACCTCTCGCCTCTGTGGGAGGATTTGCATAAAACACTCACACACATAACATGAAATAAATAAATAGGAAGGAAGGAAGGAAGGAAGGAAGGAAGGAAGGAAGGAAGGAAGGAAAGAAGGAAGGAAGGAAGATCCACTATCTCTGTCCACTTAGTACAATGCCGGGCAAGAGTTCCGAGAAGAAAGAGGAGAGCTGCCTGGGCATTCTAGGAGGAGTCTATGACAATGCATATTTAGCGAGCAATTAGCTCCCCTGCCGTTCTAATTGTACATAAAGATAACCCTCCTGGGGGGCAGTAAGAGGCAAACTTCCAGGGTTCCATAACACCTAGAGGATCTGGGGTGCAGGAGAGATTTGTATGATGGTAGAGTTTTGGTGCCTCCTTTCCTCCCTATGCTATAGAACTACCATTCCGTCACTCCAAAGCACTGCCTGGCAGTTTGGCACAAAATGGCTCAGTGTGGCTTCATGTTTCACAATCTACCTCCATTTCAAGGTATTCTCGGGGGCTATAATTTATTTTAGTTCCACCCTTAGGCTCAGTCCGGTCCTGTCATTCCTAAACCGATCCTGACCGGATGCAGGAAATGCCACTGGAGCCCATGGTCTGTGGCTGAGCAGAAGAGGGCTGGCTGCCAGATGTCCTGCCCATTCATTCAGGGCAGTGTGGGAAACACTTAGAAGGGGACCCGCTGGAATCTCCCAATGAATGGGAAGGAATAATTACACTGTTCCTTAGGGAAGAGGAGAGGAGAGGGTCAGGGTTTACACATTCTGGAAGGTTCTAAGTCTATCAGTCAGCCTAGGCGAACCATCAAAAGGAGACAAAGATGCCAGATGTGGTGGTGGGGTAGTGCACACATTTAATCCCAGCAGTTGGGGGCGGGCAGAGGCAGGTGGTTATCTGTGAGTTCAAGGCCAACCTGGTCTACAGAGTGAGTTCCAGGACAGCCGAGTCTGCACAGGGAGACCTTGTCTCAAAAACAAACAAAACAAGAAAGAAAGGAAGGAAGGAAAGAAAAAGCAACCAAACAAAAACTGAAAAGTTGCCGGCTGCAGACACACCGGTTGTTCAGAAGATGCGTGTGGACCAGTGGGTGCACACTGGGGGCTCAGGGCAGAGGAATTCCTTTGTCTTTCAGAAAGCCCCGACTTTCTCAAATGTCCCCGCGTTTGAGGGTCCCACCCTCTAAGCCGCAGACCGTCAGGCTGGTGGGCCTGTAGAGCTGTGTAAACTTTCCGGCAGTTTACACAGGGCCATTGCTGACTGATGAATAAAGTTGGGGAAAAATGTTTTCAGGAGTGGGCCCTCAGTGTGGGCGTAGTCCCTTCAGCTCTGAGAGGAGAGAAGTGGACGAGCTCTTTGCCTATCTTTCACCGCTCCGCTTGTGATCTTTTCTCTTTTTTTTTTGTTTTTGTTTTTTTGTTTTTTTGTTTTTTTTTTTGAGCCAGGGTTTCTCTGTAGCTTTGGAGCCTGTCCTGGAACTAGCTCTTGTAGACCAGTCTGATCTCAAACTCACAGAGATCCGCCTGCCTCTGCCTCCCCAGTGCTGGGATTAGAGGTGTGCGCCACCACCGCTCAGCTCTCTTGTGATCTTTTAAACTTAAGTATCCTCTTACATCCTTGATACCTCTGCCCACTTAAAAAAGTGTGCTTTTTTTCTAAAGCTATGTCAATCACAGCTTTATACAGTCTGTTAAGACCCTGGGAGTGGGGGAGGAGGACTAGAGGAGATTAGTGAGACCAGGAAATGGGTGGTTCTCACACCTGTTCTTAGTCACCCACGATGGTCACTTGGAACATGAAGTCACAGTGACAAGTCCCTGGGGGCACTGTGACACCTGAGGTAGTAGGTCCCTGGCCCAGGCGCTCCAGTCATGTTCAGGATGCCAGGGAGGGAAGCGGGAGCATCTCCGGTTGGAAGAGACCGTGAAGGAACTTACACATAAGAATCATCAGCCTCTTTAAAAAAATGAACTGATAAGACATGGTGACTCAAACTTTCTTCCGGAAGGAAGTCAGTGACCAGGGGAAAGAAAAGGAAGTGACTGGCATTCTGGCTTCAATGTAGGTGTTCAAACCAAGTCATGGGTGCAAGAGACAGCTAACCTGACACACTGGGGCGGGAGGAAGAGCAAGGCGGCCGGGTGCCCGAGGCCTGTGCTGTGCTAGGGACAGTGCTTCACAGAGTGCAGGGGTGAAGGGTTTTTAATTTTGTATCACAGATGAAGGTGTGGGATGTGCTAGAATCCAAATTCTACTAAGTCACACCGGAAGTGTTTCTCACAGGCTTCAAATAAACATCGGTTAACCCATCTCCCAGATGAACAGATTTTAGGATTAAACGTGTAAGTGAGGAGCCGTGGGCATTACCTGTCGTGTCTCAGTATGGGTGTAGGCAGCACACTGGTCAGAAGCCAGCCGAATTCAGCCAGGGTGTGCAGCAGAGGGCCGTAGTCTGTTTTGATTTCACAGCCCTGTGGGAACAAGCGTAAGGGCTGACATTCTAATAGCAAAGACGTGGGCCACACGGTAGCTAGGAAGAGGGGTGATGGGGGACGCAGTGGGCTCCCAGTGCAGTGGTACAGTGTCATGGGGCTGCAGCTCCTAGAGCTTCATCTACCGCAACATCTGCCGCCTTAGACCCACAGCTGGACGGTGGCCATTCATTGGGAAAGCCACCATTATCAGTTCTAACGTGTGGCTCTGGGAACCTGCGTTTGAAAAGATCCTTGGGGGGCACCTGTTCCATGAAGTTTACAAAGCAGGTTCAACAACAGCAGTCTAGCGACTGGATGAGAAGATGAGAGCGGGCAGTGATGCTGGCTGACAGGGCCTGGATTCGGGGGTCTCAGGTGTGGGCAGTGAAGCTGATTGGGCCTGGATTTGGGGGTCTCAGGAGCGGCAGTGACGGTGACGGGGCCTGAATTCAGGGTCTCGGGTGTGGGCAGTGACAGTGATGGGACCTAGATTCGGGGTCTAAGGCATGAGCAGTGACGGTAACGGGGCCTGGACTGGGGTCTCCCTTAAATAAATAACCCCTTTTATTATTCATAATTCTAAACTGGTGTGGGGTTGTTTTTGTGACTTATGCCTACACGGCTTCAAGGCTTTGTTGTAGTGAGAGTTTCAGTATCAGGGTTTTTTCAGGGCTAGAGTATCAGATTTGGGGTAATCTACTTTTATTTTGGCATAGGCAATTTTTTTTTTTTGTTGCCGTTGTACTGAAACTTTTGAAAATGTAGGCTAAGCTTTTTGGATAACATTGGCCTCTCTGTGTTTAAGGATTCTGAGTGTACCAGCAACGATGATCTCTAGCAGGCAGAATCATACACAAAAGGAAAACAAAGTCTCAGAAACTGCGGCTCACCTCGATGACTGTCCACTGCTCCACCACAATGGCGTCATTTCCTCTCCTGTTAGAGCCTGGAGTTCCAGGACCTTCGTCTTCATAGATGAAAAATCCTTCCAGAGATTTAGGCGAAGAGTCCCCTGTCAGGGAACGGACACAGTTCAGAAGAGCCATAAGTAAATGACGCCTGTTTCTAACCATCATCACGAGCCTCGGGTAACTACAGTAACCAGCTGAAGAAAAGCTTGTCAGTTGGAAGCTATTTCCTCCTGTGAGCATCCCGGGGCTCCGTCCCAGCATCACAGGGGTAACAGAAGTGGGGTGAGGTGGCTCACACTTGTAATTGCAGGACTTGTGAGCAGAGGTAGAAGGATCAGGAGTCCAGCCTGGGCTACCTGAGATGCTGATTACAACATTAGAATGTCCTGGAGAGATGGCTTAGCAGTGAAGTGTGCCTGCATCTTCCAGAGCTCGGTTCTCAGCACCACTCTGGGCAGCTTACAATTGCCTAAGCTTCAGCGTCAGGGAATCCCATGACTCTCTGGACTCCACGGGCACTTGCATATATAACGACATGAGAACCGGTACACGCACACACAGACACTTATACGTACACATAAAAAAAAACTTTACTGAGAAAACACACTTAAAAGAAAATTTATTTTAGTTGAGTCCTTCTGTTTCAAGATTTCCTTCTTCCCTCTAGGTAAAGACGGTTTTATATTTCACTGAAATAAAATCAAACATATACAGGAAACTACCATAGAGGAGACAAGATTAAATAATATGAGCACGAATGGACGGTCAGTCTCAGAAGCGTCTGGAAATGACCTTCACCTTGAAACAAAACTTTGATTCTGATCTGCGTTAAACCATCAGTGGAAACACGAGAATGTTGATTCTTGAAATTACAGGTATAGTATTAAAATCAGCGTGTGCATTATAAGCAGAGGGCTGGGAGGACGGCTCAGTGGTTAAAGCACTCGCTGTGAGCCCCAGCATCGCATAAAAGTTGGCCCTGGGGAGGCAGGGACAGGCAGATCCAGGACTTGCTGACCCGCGGCCTGGACAAAATGTCAAGCCCCAGGTTCAGTGAGAGACCCTGCTCCCCCAAACAGGGTGGAGAGTGAGAGAGAGAGACAATGGGATGGTGACCTCTGGCCTCTAGACGCGCATGCCTGGGCAGGTGCACACATGTACCACATGTATACACACACACACACACACACACAATCATAAGCATGGAACAATTCTTTACCTCAGCACATTAACAAGTCCCAAGTCCCCCATAACAGCGGCAGGAAGACTCTAACAGAAGTCATTGTCCGAGAATTCCTGCCCGGAAGGAAGTTTGAAGCAGAGGCCTCTTTGCCTTTTCTCTTGCACAGTTGACAATAACCATCTGGCCTAAACTAAAGGGTTTGATGGAAATTCTTTGTCTCCTATTTCGCAATAGAAGATGTTTTTTCTCATGCCTATGTGCTGGGTAAACACAGTGTGTTTTGTGTGGGACTTATCACGTCAAGTTTCCCTGTTTGCCACGGAAAGCAGAATTGTTTTGCTACAGTTATGATACGTATACCTTGCAGTTATATGGTAATCAATTATAATGGAGAAATTTATCTTTGTTTTCCAGTTAGCTTACATCGTGATGGACTCAGTCCACCCTGGGCGAATTGAATATATTGCTTACTGTGATCCAAGTAGAATCTATGCCTTATGTTTATATTTTAATAAGGAATGTATTTTCTAATATATCAGCATAGCCATTTTTATTTTATTGTTACCGTCTACATTAAAAATGGTCTGTCTTTTAAAAAATCCTGTTTGAGACTTTCTTGAATAATAACAGCTGGAAAGGCAAGGTTTTCATATGATGAAGCTTAAAGACAAAACTAATTTTGGTGTCACTTTTAGTTTTAATATATATTAAGAGACTGGAACTTGAGAGCAAATTGTTCTCTGCTTCCCCCACCCCTAATTGTTTTTGTGACAGGGCCTCTGTGTGCATCCCTGGCTGTCCTAATGCTTATCTTGCCGCTCATGATGGCCTTTAACTCAGAGCTCCGCCTGCCTCTGCTCCCCAAGTGCAGGGCTTAAAGGTGTGCGCCAACACGCTGGTCTTGCTTTTCTTTAAACACTATTTGTATTTAGGTGAGAATGCAGCAGAGAATTTTTTTTTTTTTGAGATGGTTCGTAAAGAAAAGTTTAATTTACTAGTTGGAGTGGGTTTCTGTGTGTGTGCGCATGTGTGTGTGCGCGTATGTGTTTCTAACCCATGGTGTCTGTGGCGTTCATAGGACAACTTGGGGAGCCAGAGCCCTCTCCTTCCCCTCTGTGGATCCTAACCCTTAAGGATGGCTGCCAACACCTTTACCCATGGACCCATGTCGCTGACCCGCTTCTAAACCCGATGGTTTAAAAGAAAGCGTCCAAAACAGGCATCCCAGGAGCAACAGATGGATGCTCATCTGAGCTGGGGTGACCCTGCCTCGTAAGGGTCATGGGAAGCCGTCTGGAATCCCGGGGACGCTCTGATCTTGAATCTGTGTGATCCCCGTAGCCACACATGGGACAAATGCATTTGACTCTGTGACGGACTTCAGTTAAAACTGAAGTCCTTGCTTGAGAGCTTGAGAATCCTGGGCTGGCTCTCTCAGTGCTCACACTAGGCATGTCAAAATGCAGGGCACCACCTCCTGTCAGAAAAGTTTTTTCTACACATGCCAGCGCGTGGTGTCTGACGGTGGTTTCAGGACATCCTGAAAAGGTTATGAAGCCCCTGCCTGTTCTCTCTCTCTCTTCCTCCCTCTGCTTCTGAATACCAACACTAGCCAAATGCATCTGTGTCCTACTTCTGGGTGGGGATGGGAGTGAGTCTCAGCTACTTCCATGTCAGTGTTCTGTCTTAAATGCAATTTTTGCATTCTTTTTAAATATATCCATCTTATCTGGGTGCTGTGGCCTACCACTTTAAACCCAACTCTGGGGAGGCAGAGGCAGAGGCAGGTGGATCCCTGTGAATTCTAAGTCAGTCCTAGTCAACACAGTGAGCTCCAGGCCAGCCAGGGCTGCATAGTGAGATCTGTCTCAAAAACAAGCAACCCCTACCAAAACAAGTCTCTTAAATTAAATATATTCATCTTGACTGGTTATGGGTAGTACACATCTACAATCTCAGTTACTTGAGAGGTTGAGGCAGGAGGATTGTAAATTTGAGGTCAGCCTGGGTAAGTTAACGATACCCTTTCTCAGAGCGAAACACGACCCCTCCCCCCACGAAACCCCAAAAGTCTGGGAACCAACTTAGTTGTAAAGTGCTCACCATTTATTGGCAAGGACCTGGATTTGACCCCAGCACCACAAAACAGAAACACGTACATCCTTTGAATCCCCCAAAACGACATGTTGGTCCACCCCTTCCCTTACTTTACAAACAAAACAAACTTCATTTCTCTTCTTCCCTTTCTCATAGTTCCAGGAAGGTTTATCCTGCAATCATGAGCCCCTGTGACCTCTGAACTCCCTGGCACAGGAGCGAACATCCTAAGGGTTCTTATGCGTGAGTCAAATGGGCTGCCTGTCTGGACATGTGATCTCACGTCCCTTGTGTCTAGATATGACAACGATATTCATGTAAATGTAAATGATATTAATGTAATATAAATGTAAACACTCCATTTTGGGGATCTTTTGGTTTACTTGTCATATTTCATATTAAGCTGTCCAGAGGTGGGTCCGGGACCACCTGTGATGTGGAGGGCAGTGTGTACAGTCATTGTTTTTCTGTGTCTCTAGCATGTATGTCTTAACAAAATGAGTATCAACCTCTCTCAGGGGCTGCGAGAGGCACCAGCAGTGGTGGTTTGAATGAACACGGCCTCGTAGGCTCAGATATTTGAATACTCGGTTCCCAGTTGGTGGAACTGTCTGGGAAGGACTAGGAGGCGTGGCCTTGTTGGGGGAGGTGTGTCTCTGAGTGTGGACATTGATAGTATTCCCAGTTAGTGCTCTTTCTGCCTTCTATTTGAAGATGAGGATGTAAGCTCTGGGTTACTGCTCCAGTGCCGTGCCTGACTGCTGCCGTGTTCTCTGCTGTGATGGTCACAGATGCTAACCTCTGCAACTGTGTTCTCTAAATCTTTTTTTAAAAATTAATGAGTTGTCTTAGTCATGGTGTTTTGTTATGACAATAGAAAGGGGACTAGGACATTAGCCTTTCTACTCTTCTGGATTGCTCTGTGCCCTTTGCCCTGGATAGTCTACCCCGGCTCTTACACGCCTGCCTCCTGCAATTTTAGCTTCCTGCATGTATGTTTATGTGTGTGTATGTATGTGCAGGTGTGTGCGTGCTATGACACATATGTGGAGATCAGAGGGGCAGCTTGTAGGAGTGAGTCCTCTCCTTCAGTCCCGTGGGTCCTGGATAGCTGAACTCGGGTGGCCTGGCTTCACCTTTGGGCCATCTTGCTGACCCCAGGTCACCCTTTCTTACAGATTCTTCCCTGGTTCTCTTGTAGTCCATTAGGTACACTCTGAATATTTTGTTACTTTTGAAATTGTGTGTGCATGTGTGCGTGTGCGCGTGCATGTGTAAGTGCACGTGTGTGTGTTGGTACCATCACAGCCAACTGCTTGTTCCCCACACTTACAAATTATTGCAAACCCTGTACCTAAGCGGATGCACGGATGAGAAGCAGAGATAGATATACACACACCTTTCTACCTTACTGCCCCTCGCTTCTCCTTAAAGTGCCTTGAAAGGAAGAGAATCCACAGGCAATCAAAAGGAAACATAAAGATCTGGCAAAGTGGTGTTGGAGAGGGAGACTACACTCTGGGGGTGACCCTCCTTGTGTGTGTGTGTCTGTCCACTCCTAGGGGAATGTTCGAAACAGAGAAGGCTGCAAGTGTGTGGAAGGACACAGAGGAATTCCACAGATCTTACAAAGCTAGCATCGTGCTCTGTCAAGGTAGGTAGCTTTCCAAGACATCCCCTCCCCTCTGCCGCTGTTTCTGGAGCATTTTCTCCAGTGTGATTCGTAAGCTAATAAGTTTCTAGGCAGTGTCTGGTCTTGTAGTTCTATGTTCTCTTTAGTGAACTGATTTCTGACAATATTTGGGCTGAGGACAGAAGCAAGACACAGCAAAATATGCATTTTTTTCCTCTTTGGGATGCCAGATATCAAACGTTCAGAACAGAGAACCCAGTTCAGTCCATCTTCTCGCTGGCTTCTCATAGTGACAGACACTGGTCAGTTTCCCCTCTGCAACGTCCCTGGGCACTTCCGGGAAAGTCCTAGTAACCCACAGGTGTCCAGACCACAAAGGCTGAGGTGGATAAAGGAAGTTCAGCAAAGACTGCATCAAACACTGTCTGAAGAGACGTTCCAGAGCTGCCGAGGAAGGGAGAACCTCCCTGGGGCTCTAAGAACTAAAGCCACGCACGGTCTCTGGCTGAGCAACTGCAGTAATCCATTTTTTTCCCCGTCAGGCCAGTCCCATGGCAGGAATGTCTGAGAGAGACTGAAAAGAACAGTTTTGCTTTTCCTTGGGCAGTTTGTCACCAACCAAAATCTGAAATGCCTCCAATTTAGACGCTGCAGGGAGGAGAGGGAGAGAAACGGTGGGGAAGCACGAACCGCACGGAACGTACGTAAGTAACCGTCTGCACGTAGGCGTCCAGAAGGAAGACTCACAGGAGAAAGGACTCTGCCATAGCCTCGGTGCTGGACACCTGACCTGCCTGTTCCCACCCGTGGCTCACAGCCGCCAAGGGTGCGTTTCATGCCCCCTTAAGGAAGCAACTTCCGTCGGTCCGCCCCAGACCACAGTTCCCCAGACCACAGAGCTGGTAAGTCGGCGTAGACCCTAAACCCCTGCTCTATCGGATGCTAAAGGCTTGCCTCTTCTCGCAAAACCTTGCCATTTCCGAACAATAGCAAACCAGAGCAAGTCCAGCGACCAGAAGACACCGAGTGTTTGTTGGGACCTGCTGTGTGCCAGTCATTCCGGCAAGATTCCGCGCTGGAGGCACGCCTTGGGCTTGGCTCTACTTAAAAGGCTCTTGCGGAATGTGGCTTCTGGACGTACTAGGGTCTATCCAGAACAGGGTGGTCTCACAACACTGTGTCTGATTTCTCCTTCACTCTTGGCTCCAACCTTGCTGAGTTTAAGGTCTGTAGTGATCCCAGTGCCCACCTTCTGATGCATTCCCTCCAGCTGCCCCGTCTCCTGACTTCTGTGAACACTAATATCTCTTGAGCTCATTTTTGGGGAGGTCTTTTTGTCTTTTTTTTTTTTTTTTTTTTTTTTTGTGGTCAGCAAGACTGATTATGTACTACATTGTAACTCAAAGACGAAGACTAGAGAAAGACAAAAGAATGGATCCATACCTCGGATTTCTCTTCTGTACATAGAAAGAATCAGAAATTCCGTGGTGATAATTTTGTTGATATTTTGTTTGTGTTTGAACAAATATAGCTTGCCTGAAGATCAGAGTGCAGAGCTAAGCCACTAGAGGCCAGGGAGTGGTGGCTTACACCTTTACTCCCAGCACTCGGGAGGCAGAAGCAGGCGGATCTCTGTGAGTTCGAGGCCAGCCTGTTCTACAAAAGCTCCAAAGCTACAGAGAAACCATGTCTCAGAAAAAAAAAATTAAAGTCAATTATAACCATCCTCATAGGCCACAGTACTTGAAAGACAACATTTTCGGCAGTTTTGACTTGCATCCAGATGATTTACAGACGGATGTATTACTAAGGTAAACTCACCTTTAGGTGTCTCCCAGGATACAAAAGCGTCAACTAAAGACAAGCCTTGTTTATAATAGAACGTCGTTAAGTCGAGCCAGTTGGCGTCGAGGGTGTTGATGACGGCCCCTTTCCGCGTCACCTTCATGGACAGGACACCCTCCCGGTAGCTCCAGCAGGCCGACTCCTCGTCAAAGGTGTTGAAGACCATGTAGAGCTTGTGATCTGAGGACAGGCGGTCAGGAAAGGGGGGGACAGTCATAATCTTACACATCAAAATTCTTAAACAATTTGTTCTTTGTGAGACATGACAGACATACAAGTGAAGAGAGAAAATAACAAAAGTACCCACCACTCAATTACAAAGATTTGTGTGTATATCTGTGTACATGTGTGTTTGAGTGCATGGATGTGTGTGTGTGTGTGTGTGTGTGTGTGCGCGCGCGCACACACACACACACATACACATGTTGGTGTTGGGTGTTTTTCTCAGTCCTTCTGGATCTTGGGTTTTGAGTTAGGGTCTCTAAGTGGACCGAGAACTCAGGGCCTGGTATCTTGTCTACTTATTGAGCACTGGGATTGCAGGCGTTACATCTCCACATCTGCCTTTTAAGGGGGAGCCGGGCGTTGAACTCAAGACCTGGTGGTTGTGGGACAGGTGCTGTCCTGACTAAGGTACCTGACGCTCTCCCCACCCCTGACTCAGGTGAATCACATGCTGATGACATGCCATGCTAGCTTTGGATTATATATGATATGATATAATATAATATAATATAATATAATATAATATAATATAATATAATATAATATAATATATATAATATATAACAAGACAGCAGACCCAGGGGAGGCCTCTACGAGGTGGGTACTGCACAGCGTCTCGTCTCTGATTCCATTCTCTAGAGATAAGTGCTAGAATGAGTTTGGTATTCATTGTTCTCATGAAAGCTCCGAGTTTTTAAATACAGTTACACGCCACGTAAATACTTGACTGTTTAAAAAAAACGCTTTAATAGGGGTTGAGGATTTGGCTCAGTGGAGGGAACTTGCCTAGCAAGTCCTGTGTTTGGTCCTGAGCTCAAAAGAAAAAACAAAACAACCCAATGACAAAAACAAAACTCAGCACAACCTCAATAATATACTGTTTTGTTTTTTAACCTCCTGGTTCTCTCTCTAGAAGGCTGTGCTCACATGGAGCCCTGCCACGCACGGGTTCTGAACCCGAAGGCCAGGACTCCACTGCGCCCTCCAGGGCTAGCGCTGAGCCGAGGTTTGTGGCAGCTGCCAACTTGCTAGAGCTTCTTTTGTGCTGGGCACTGGGCTGTTTTCCTTCTCCAACCCCATGAGGGAGGCTCTGCAATTGTCCCCTTTATAGAAAGAAAGGGAGGCATTTGTCTCCAGGGGCCGTGTTTTCTTCACGGTTTATGGAGTCTTTAATTTTCTTTGATGTTGCTTTAAAACAAAATTCCTGCAAAGATGTCAGGAAACTTTACACAGTTCAGAATAAAAGGGGAAAATGCTCTCGGTTTCTTGGGAAAACTTGGGGCTTGGCAGAGAAGGGCAGAACTTGTCTGCGGCTATTTTTGGCTGTGGGAACTATTGTTACCGCTCACACATCATGATGCTCCATTGTCACAGTCTAGGGATGGTCAAAGCAGGCTGTGGACGCTAAAGGTGAAGAGTGTGCGTGGGGTGGGAAAGGCCTGCCCTGAGATTCTCACAGTTTACTGAACAGCTGTAACCAAGCTACGTTCTCAGTCAAGTCTTTTTTTTTTTTTTTTTTTTTTTCTCTGTATAGCCTTGTCTTTGGAACTTGCCCTGTAGTCCAGGCTGCTCTAGAACTCACAGAAATTTGCTTGCCTCTGCCTTCTGAGTCCTGGGATTAGAGGCCTGTGCCACCACCACCTGGCTGTCAAAGCCATTTCTTGCAGCACTGGTGAGCCCTCTGGTTTAGAAGAGCTGTCTGGGTGCCTGAATTGTGTGGGTGGCTTGCGGGGTCAGGAGGAGAACTAATATCTGAAACCTTGCCTTATTTCTGGCTATAATTATTTAAAAGCAACCCCAAAAGATTAGATCAGTTCACTCTCTTCGTAACCTGCAGAAATTAACGTTGTTTCTATTTCTCTAAAATCACGATACAGTTTGGGGAACATAGAGAACATTGTCTTTCCATCCATGCTGTTACCTCCTCCCAGCTCTGGTCTAGAGCAGCTGGGACTGCTGTTTCCGTCTGTCCCCTGTCCACTTTCACGCCGCGGTTCCTCCTCCGCTCTGCTCTCAGACAACTGTCCGCCGGCGTCTCCTTCATTCCAGCTTTTGCAGTTGTCACGGGAACCGTGTCTCCCGGGTAGCCCCGATTCTGCGTCTCCATCCTGGCTGGTTCCGTTGCAGTGTGGGGACGGCGAGTCGTACTGTGATACAAACCCAACAAACTTCTTTCCTCTCTTGGCGGCAGCATTAATCTGAGGTTGAAAGAGATAGCAGGACCAAGGTAAACCCCATGTGTGTGACTCAGGAGGCCACTGGAAGGTGGGATGGGACTGACCAGTACCGAAGCCACACTTCTAAGTCAGCTAGCATCCGCCAACCCCAAGGTCATGTCTTAGTATCAGCATGACTCGTTACCAGAACGAGTGCTTTAGAAATTAAAGAGATGGGACCCTATTTTTCTCTGAGATTCCATCATATTTGGCAAGAGCTAGTAATTTTATAGCAGGACTTTTGGACATGGTTAACGATAACCTTTCCAGTTGGAGCAGAAGTAAAGACTGTTCTGGGAACACTCCCCAGAATAACTTAAGCAAATACAGTCTCACTATTAAAAAAAAAGGCACACCGCAGGGGTTGGTGTTGATTAAGACAGGTGTTAAGAGGCCAGCTCTTACTAACGCGCACCTGAAATCGTGGCCCAGGTCACAGCGCAGCTGACAGGGAACTTTCTAATCTGCTGATGTTCTACGTCTGCCTCTGACCTGGCCAAGGACACAGAATCCGATTTGATCCTGTCCATGAGGACACAGACTCTGAAACAGATGGTATGAGGTCAGAGAAAGAGTTCGGGGTCTCAGCAATGGTGGTTTTCACGTCTGGTACTGTTTCCATCCGACCGCTTCTGAGACTCTTATCTTATTTCCTCTGAGCACACAGCGCCCGAGATCTGAGGGTTTCCTTCGGCTTTTCTCTGTTGTGACAGTGTTCTTTTCCTGAGTTCAGCTGGCAATACTTCCCGGGGAAAATGCTGTGTCTGATCTGTCTTTGTATCGCATTATTTGATAGGTATACTGTAAACATCCATTAAATAAATGCAGAAGCACAAATGCTTTCTTCAAAAAAATTTTTTTTCTTTTCTGCGACAGGGTTTCTCTGTATCTCTGGCTGATCTTGAACTCTCTCTCTGTAGACCAGACTGGCCTCAGACTCAGAGAGATCCGCCTGCCTCTGCCCCCCAAGCTCTGGGTCTAAAAGTGTGCACCACCATGCCTGACTCTTAGTGTTGGTTTTTCCCGACCACTGTTTTAAACACTTAGAAACTAGACATTTTTCGTATTACCTGGAGAGAGCTATGGCGGAGGCTGGGGGATGGCAGCACTGACGGACTGAATTGGGTTCTCAAATGCAGGAAGAACCGGAGAAGAGCCAGGGGATCAAAGGGGTTACCTCGAGCTGGCTCAGAGGGTGGAGTTCGAGGAGCCAGAACCCCAGACTGAGGCCAGGGCAGCCTCGTCCCTCTTCCTAAGATCTCGCTAACACTGTGTGGAGACTTGAGAGAGGAGGGAGGTGTGAGAGGGCCCCACTCTCTGAGAGTAGAAACCGGTAAATTTCTTGTCAGTGTCCTTTCTGGGTATTAGGTTTGAGTGGAGACATTCAGGAAAACTCGTATGATAGCACATACTTTTTCTTCTTCTTCTGGAAAAGTCTAGGAAGACATAGATGGATGTCTTTTCCATTTTAACTTGGAGGTTGGATGCTTTTAATCACGCTTAGTTAATCGTGTGTGTACACGCACACGCGTGTCATGGCATGATAAACATGAAGTGGGAGGGACCACCTGTAGGAGCTCGTTCTCTCCGACCACGTGAGTTCCAGGGATTGAACTCAGCTCGCCAGCTTTGATAGCCACGCCTCTTCCTGCTGGGTTGTCTTGCCAGCCTTAGAGGACTGACGATTTTAAATGCAGTATTTTAAAACCCCGAGAGGAGAAAAATACAAACCGAATATTAAAAATAGAACGGACAGGGGTGGGGATCGAGCTCAGAGTAGAAGGCCCGCATGCCGGAGGCGTGCACGAGGCCCAGCGTTCAATCCTCAGTACCAGATAGAAGGACGGGAACTAAAAATAGAGCCGGCACTGACAGACAGCGAAAGCTGTTCAACTCTCGGTCTTCACACAAAGTGCCTGTTCAGAAATACTTGGCATTCGCCGATTGCGCTTGCTCATGCCCAGGGCAGTGCTGGGATATTCCGCCTGTGTGCTTCCTGAAGCCTTTCCCGTACAGGAGAATCCTGTGACAGCCGACACGGCACTTTCCTGTGGAAGTGGGTCTTTAATGTGTCCAGGGAGTCTGATTCAGAATAAGCGCTGTGTGGTCATCTATCAGGACCCAATGAGTAGCGATGTTTTTGTTTGCAAAAGAGACTGTCTGGAGCGGGTTTCTCCCCAGAAAAGAAATACCCAGAAGGGCAGCCGTAAACAGTGTGTGCTCTTCAGAGAGCTCTGTCTCCCTTTGCCACCAGCGCAGATGAACGGTGACTTTGTACCTCAGTGAGCAGCGCCGTTAGCCGTTCTGAGTGGTGACACCGCCCCGCAGACGAGTCTTCGCAAGCAAGCGGTTTCTTAGGGTTTGAAATCAGCGACAGAAGCACACGGCATCATTTCCTTTTCTCTTTCCTTTGTAGCCCAGTCTGATCTGGTGCTCAGTCTGCCTGCCTCAGCCTCCTACACGCAGGGATTACAGGTAGAAACCACTGTGCCTGGCTCAGAGGATTGTTAACTGTGGTTAGGACGCCCCACTCTGGTCTCACAATTTGTTTGTTTTTGTTTTTTGAGACAAGGTTTCTCTGTAGCTTTGGTGCCTGTCCTGGGACTAGCTCTTGTAGACCAGGCTGGTCTCGAACTCACAGAGATCTGCCTGCCTCTGCCTCCTGAGTGCTGGAACTAAAGGCGTGTGCTACCACCTCCTCCTGGCCTAACTCAGAATTTTTACGTGAAAGTGCCTTGGCTTGGGTTCTTGACTCTATATTTAAATTAAATAAAGGCTAGCTGGGTGTGGTGGTGGTCAGTTTAATCCCAGGACTCAGGAGGTAGAACTCACTCAGGTGTGAGTTCGAGGCCAGTTTCAGGGACAGAGTTCCCGGACTGCCAAGTCTACACAGTGAACGTCCATTTCAAAAACAAAACACACACACTCCCCCGAAACAACAACAAAAACAAGCAGAAGGTAAGAACTTATGAGTAGACTAATGTGACTGAAACAACGTTCACCAAATATACTATCAATTTAGAATATGTATGGATATGTATATATATATATGTATATACATATATATGTTTTTCTGGGTTTAGCCAATCTACATTTAGTGTTCAACTTTTTATTTATTCGGCTTCCAAAGGATGCAGCAATTGCAAATTTTCCCTTGATTTTTTTTTCAAGTTAATTTTTCTTAAAAAAACATAATTGATTTCATGCGAACTCCCCATTCACAATTGAATATGTTTATTTTTTTGTTTTCTTTCAGACTTTTTTTTTCATCTTAAAAAAAAATCCCACCCCTTTGTCTCATCTGAAACTTCTGGAATCTATTTTCCGTGGAACAATTGCCTACTTCCCCAAGTACTGACTCAGTCACAGCTAGTCTTGCTTTTTTTGTGTTGCGTGTTTGTTATTAAACATCTCCTTCTTTGTTAGGCAGGGTTTCTCTGTAGCTCTGGCCGTCCTGGAACTAGCTCTTCTAGACCACACTGGCCTCGAACTCACAGAGATCCGCCTGCCTCTGCCTCCCGAGTGCTGGGACTACTGCCTGGCTGTTATTAAACTTCTTCTATGCAGTTGAATTTACTTCTGCTAGCTCTGTTCTGTCTTACTGGCCCTTGTTTATGGTTTTGTGATGGCTAATCTTGGCTGTCTGCTTGGCTGGATCTGGAATCAATTAACAGGCAAGCTCATGGAATTTTCTTGCTCAGATCTACTGCAGTGGGCAGGCCCACCCTAAATGTGGGTGGCACTTCTGGTGGCACCCCTGATCGAAGGAAATGAAGACACCCAGCCTTTGCTTTTGGCTTGCCTGCCTTCACGGGTTACCAAGGTCGTTTATGCTGGCGCCAACCTGCCGGCTGCTGCTTTTGACTGACATTCGAACCCAGCTCCTTTAGCCTCCCAAGACTGAAGGAAGACCAGTGGCTCTCCGGAATCTTCCAGGCCTTAGGGACAGCTAAGGCATTTGGTTGTGGAAGGAGCAGCCACTGGGTCTCCAGCCTCAGTATGAAGGTAGCTGTTGCTGTCCTATGTAGGCTGTGCTGTGTAAACCAACCTGGCAAGCTCCTTTAACACACTCATCCTTTTGTTCTTCCTCCAGAGATCCTGACGAGTGGAGTTTTCATTGATATACAATTTGGCTCACACGCTTTACGTTTTGAATTCTGTAGAATAAGCCATCGCCAGTTCCCTAATCTTGTGGGTCCTGTACTGTAGTTCAGGCTGGTTTTGAGAACTCAGCCTGGAGCCGAGGATGACCTTACACCCGTGGTCCTCCCCTCACCCAGTGCTAGGATTACAGACTGTGGTTGTCAGGTGAGAAGGGAAACTGCTGCTTAGTGTCGCCGTGAGGGAGGCGCATGCGCACCCAGTACCTTCTCTATGAGTTCCTTCGCTGCGTTGTTGGTCTCCGTCTCATAAGGTAGAGGACACTCTTCTATCACGAGTCTTGCGTGCCTTTGTCCACCTGGGGCTGCTGGGTGCTTGGGGCTGCAAGGAGAACATGGCCATGGTCAGGTGCGAACCGCTTCTTTTCTCCCATGTCCACGTGAAAACCACGAGCAACTCAGAAGTGAGGTCAAGGCTATCCTTTTGCGATTTCAATCCCAATGGTTACCACAATCAAAATGCCACAGACACGCAGTGATTCCTGTTAACTACATTTCCTTGTAGCACGAATCCTAATTGTTTTTAATAATAAAAACCCGGAGTCAGATATTGAGGGTGAAAACTGAGAGATCAGAGAAGCAGAGCTGCCGGCCACTAGAGAGACCTTTAACCTCTACCGAATCCTCAGACCAAAGGGGCGATCCTGTCCTCAGACTGCTTCAGACTGCACCCAAGGACTGCAACTGTCTCCACCAAACCTCAGACTGCATCTGAGCTCCTGTCTCCTCCATATCCCTTCATGTCTCCACCTCCCTAGTGTTGGGATTAAAGGTGTGGGACTCCCAAATACTGGGATTTAAGGTGTGCACCACCTCTGCCTGGCCTCTGGTGACTTAGCTCTGCACTCTGATCTTCAGACAAAGCTTTATTTGCTAAAGCACAAACAAAATATCACTACATTTCCCTAATTTAAACCTTCAGCAATTTGATTCCCAATTTAAAGTGAATGAAAGAGCTTTGTTATTGGACAGAGCATAGGTAAAAACAATCTTTTTAGAGGCAGATAAATGTCTGTTTCCCAGCCCTGCCTTTCCTTTACTGATCTCTAACTTCTGCCAAGTTTTAGCGCTTCTGAGCCTGTTTAACACCAAAAGTGGGAAAGGTAGTTGGCTATCCACAGTTGATGGAGTTTGTCATCAGGACCAAAGCTTAGGTTCAATCCCACTACCTCCCCCTCTCTCACCCTCTCCCGCGCCCCCCCCTTACATTTAGCATTTATTATGCTATCTAATTTTGAGACCTTGCTGTGGTAGGGCTTTCTGCTACACAAGGTTTATGATGTGAGCTGGTTTCCTCATGAGAACAGAGGGAGTTGGAAGAACGCAGAGCGGGCTGCCTCGTTTCGCTCGGAGCTTACGCTCATTGCCCTAACGCGTCTTCAGGTGGTTGTACAGGAGTTACTACACCCAGCTTTTTGGCGTGCTTCTTAGGTCTATTTCCTTCCTTTTGCCCATGGCATCTTCACTTAGTGCCTGGTTATTTGGCCCCAAAGAGTTAAGACAATGGTCAGGAGGGTTTGTGTTATTTTGGCTCTTTTCTTTTGAGCTAGAATCTTCCGGTGCAGCCCACACCAGTGTCAAAGTTGGGGTCTTCGCACCTCACTCATCCTCCTGAGTGCTGGAGTCACTCCCCAACCCTACATGTACCAACACCCTTGGCTTAATCAGGGGTTTTAAAGGTGTGTGAGTTTCCTTATTCCAATTCAATTTCAGCTGTGAAAAATGTGCCTTGGATCATCATCCCCTGAGTGTCCTTCATTTTCCATCACACCTTCAAAATTTCCTCTCTTTTAGATTAAAGAAAACCTGCCAGGCGGTGGTGGCTCATGCCTTTAATCCCGGCACTTGGGGAGGCAGAGGCAGGGGATTTCTGTGAGTTCAAGGCCAGCCTGGTCTACAGTGAGAAACCCTCCCTGTCTCAAAATATCCCCTGAAAACCAAAATCCAACGAACCAAACGAAAAAAAAACGACCTCCTCAAAAGATGAAAACAAATCCATCCCTCCGAATGGCCTCCTATGGGACTTTCTGGAGCTCACCTTGCTTTCAGGCGAGACAGCACCACTCTGTACAGGTGACTTGCTGGCAGGTGTTTCCGATGCCCCACAGGTTGTAAAACTGGATGAATGGCCCCAACGACGTAGCCCTTCAGATAGTAGTCTTCCACTTTGGCAACGATGTCCAGAACCGAGTTTATCTTGATGACTTCTGGGTTGGTTGAAGCTGAAAGACCAAAAAAAAAAATGAAGAGAAATTTTCCTATTGGTAACACTGTCGACCGGTATGGGAAAGGAAGAGGGTATGCAGCTGGGGAAGGCGTCTGCAACGTTACAGAGATATGAATTCCAATGGCTACGTTATGTGTAATATTTCTCACTTTATGGAGGACAGTTAGGACTGTTATCCAGAGGCGGGCTTGGCATTGATTATCTTGTGAATAAGAAAGCAATATGAAATCAGTTCCAGGTCCAGGCTGGCCTGGTTTCCCAGTCATGTGACCTGTGGAGTCCAGCACAGGAAGAAGGTTAAGACGCAGATGAGGAAGAAGGGTCAGGGGAAGTCCCTGTCCCCCAGCACTAACACTCCCGTGATGGAACAATCCCGCCATCGGTGAGCACGCACGCCAGCTTCTCGAATGGAAACGAGGCACTTAACAGCTATGCGGGCCAGCATGAATCCATTTCCTTCCATTTCTATTCCCCTTCGGATTTAAACTAATATCCTACATCTATTCTATTTTCTTCGTCACTATGAATAGAAACGAAAATGGAGAGGCCAGCCCTGAACTTTGAAGAAACATCTGGTCTCCATGTAAACATTCCAGCCCTGTCTGTGTGGCAAGCCTCTCGTCATTTGTTTGGGTTAACTCTTTATTAGCGCTTGGTCTACAAACCCCGCCTTTTTTAAGACAAAGCAGCTGAAAAACTATACAATAACGCAGAACAGACTCTTAAGGCTAAGGAAGAAAATATAACGTAAACGTATCTTTAGAACTGTGCTGATTGGTACACAATTAAAAAAAAAAGTCCTTTAATGGGTTACAAGGCATGGGGCAGGAAGTGGAGAAGTTAGCCTGACGTGCAGAAGTCCCCTTAGCCACGCATTCCTGCATGCTTTGACGTGACAGCTTGGACTTCTGAACCTGCCGCTCTATTTGACCTCAGTAAGCCTTTCTCCCCTTCCCTGTCCCCACCCCTGAGTTAGTTCTTCCTCCACTGGCCATTCTGCCCTGTGTTCCAGTTACTTGTTTATATACCTGTCCCCGTTGTTCGACTGGGAACTCCTTCAGGGCAAGGATCCTATCTTACGCCTTTCCGTACCTCACTCGTTCCTTAGGTCATTACGTTAAGCGGAATTATTGTTTGTTAAGAGAATAGGTAAAATTATCGTACAAAGATGGAAAGCCGATCACTACTAGCTAGGGGAAATAAAAAGTTTGGTTAGCAGAGAAAGGCAAAGTGGCAAACCCTGGCAGTGCCAAGGACCTGCCTTTCATCGTCTTGGCCATGAAAGCGAGAGTGGTCAAGAACACTGTGAGGACTGGAGCGATGGCTCAGGGGTTAAGAGCACTGGCTGCTCTTCCAGAGGACCCAGAGAGAGAGACAGCCAGTGTCTTCCCACATGGTTGTCTCTTCCTTGAGCTCCTGATGTGACTGACCTCAACAATGATGGATCGTGACCAGCAGTGTAAGGAGAAGGAAACCCCTTTCTCTCCACATTGTTTGTAGTCATGGTGTTTGCTATAGCAACAGGATGACAAGCTAGGATAAAGTCTGATGGAGAGGAACTGTGTGACTTTTATCCAAACGCCTTACTGAGCTGGCCTTGGTTTTCTGGCTGGCTTGGTAGTCACTACTAGGTGTGTATGTACATGCGTGTGTGTATACGTGCATATGCGTGTATCTGCATGTGTATATGTACATTATGTATGTGTGCATATGTTCATGTAGGTATATACATGCATGTGTATGTGTATGTATGCATGTATGCAAATATGTGTGTGCGTGTGTGTCTGTGTGTGCATATACGTATGTGTGCATATGCGCATGTAGGCATATACATGCATATGTGTGTATATGTGTATATGTATGTATGAAGTATGTGTGTATTGTGCATGTGTGTGTTGTAGACCAGGGTGTGTTGTTGTCGATCTCTGCCTCAAATTCAAGCTTCTCGTGGACAGCTTCTTTTCATACCCTCCCTCCATCTGAATGTTTTCAGCCGAGCTGAAGGCTGTGAGGAATTCAGAGCTCTCCCTGGAGGGCAGAGCAGTACACATGGAGGAAGGACTTTTCAACCGCTCTAAAGACTGGGCCATTATGTATCCATGACAGGCTCAGCCTCTGAGGCCCAGCCTTGGAGTTGACGTTCTTGCATTGGGCTGCAATATCAGAGGCTCTGTCCCCCTTTAAACACAGGAAGTTAAGGGGGAGTGGGTGTTTTTCTCCGTAGCAGCTGTAAGCTCTCTCCCCGGCTGAGGGCCTCGCACATTCTTTGAGAGGAGGGACAAATGGTGTTACAGCCTTGGTGGGCGTGGCTGGTAACTGTGAAATTAGTGCTACAGGATCTGTGAAAGCATCTCCGCATCCTCCAGGGCGATCATGAGGAGCCTGGGCACAGCAAGTTGTAATGGTTTTGAAATTTGTGCAGATGCTAAGTGAGTTTATATTACTACAATCAAGACTTGTTGAAGGTTAAAAAAAAAAGTTCTTCTCAAAGCTTCTAAACTAAAATATCTGTTGATCCATTTCATGTTCCTTCACTAAAATGTGCCCATGACAAAACTCGAACCTTGAAATGCAAGTCAGCAGGTGTTGTGTCTCATACTTGTCATCCCTACCCTTGGGAGGCTGACGCAGGAGGATTACTACACGTTCTAAAGTGTTACATAGTGAGTTTCAGGCCAGGCTGGGCTACAGCATGAGGCCTCAAAAAGCAAACAAACACACCAACCAACCAATCAACCAGCCAATCAACCAAAAAGCCCAAAAACCAAATTGGCACAAAGATACAAAGAGCCACGTTCCATATAAAGCTGAGAACTGTTAAACACTAGAAGCTCTGCTCTGACAGCACAATTCCAGGAAGACGGCACAAACCACACGTGTTAATTCCCACCAGCTCGCCTCTGGAGATTGGTTTGTATTTATAAAACACATCTAAGCTTCTTTTCTAAAGTAAAAACAGGGCTGGAGAGATGGCTCAGCGGTTAAGAGCACTGCCTGCTCTTCCAAAGGTCCTGAGTTCAATTCCCAGCAACCACATGGTGGCTCACAACCATCTGTGATGAGGTCTGCTGCCCTCTTCTGGCCTGCAGGCATACACACAAGAAGAATATTGTATACATAATAAATAAATAAATAAATAAATAAATAAATAAATAAATAAATAAATATTTAAAAAAAATAAAGTAAAAACAGTGTGAAAACACAACAAGCAACTTCACCACCATCTTACAGGGTGGTGGCCCAGCAGCCTGCATGCCCTCCCGGCGGCTGTAGAGCAGAGTCAGAAGCAGCGACTTCCAGCCTGTGCCTGGTTCTGTACAAACGGATCACATCCGTTCTGAACCCCTACAAACCCTTCCAGGTGGATTTTTATTGTCTGATTCAAGATTGAATCAAGATTGAAGATTCAAGGAGAGCGGTTAGGGAATTGATCCACATTGCTAGTCAATTCTGAGGCTGAGCTGAAACCCAGGCAGAAGGACATGGGAACTGGGACACTCAAGCGACCACAGGAAAGGGGACTTCATTGATTTGGACCATGTTTGTTGAGGATTTGTGAATTCAGGCATGAGGTCAGCTATACCAGTGGTTCTCAACCTTCCCAATACTGTGACCCTTTAATACAGTTCCTCATGTTGTGGGGACCCCCAACCATAAAACTGTTTTTGTTGCTACTTCATAACTAATTTCGCTACTGTTATGAATCATAATGTAAATATCTGATATCCAACCCCTGTGGAATAGTCTTGTGCCCCCAGGTTGAGAACGCTGGTGTAGATTGTGATAGATTGCTAAGTGATTTAATGTGTGGCTGTTCGGCTTATCTGATTTATTCTGTAAGTGAGAGGTTTTAGGTAACTGAGAAATACAGAATGCTTTGTTAATATCATTGTCTCGGTACAGTTAAATGAAGTAACATTACGGCGGTTTTTCTTTTCTTTTTGTCTTGTGTTTTGAGACAGGGTCTCAGGAGCCCAGGCTGGCCTTGAACACAGGGACAGTTACCCTGCACCAGCCTCCTGAGTGCTGGGGTTGGAGGCAGGAGCCTCCTTGCTTGGCACTGGACATGTGTCCTTCCGAGAGACTCATGGCGGTTTGGGAATCTATACTATCTTCCTCATGTACTGCGCAGCCTCCAGGCCCCAGAATTCCTCCCACTTCTGGCCTTTGCTCTTCCTGTCTTTCAGTCTTGTTTATCCCCACCGCCCTTTCAACTTTTCTCTGGAGGGCAGGAATAACACATCCAGGAAAAAAAGCGTGGAGACCGCTTTAAATACCGAAACTTCAGTAACCATTAATTAATCAAAAACGAGAAAGTGGCCTACTCCCCAGACACCTCCCATCCCACCAGCTCCAATCTTGGCTCTCTAGCTCTCTATTCCCACCACGCCTGACCCCGGCTGTCCAGTAACCACTGCTGGCTCTTCCTTTAGTTAGCGCCAGAGACCGGGAATGCAGCCCCAATCCCTATAGTTCAGTGTCTAGCGTGCTAAGGAGTGGTTGGCCCCTGGGCTCTTCTGCCAGGCCAATTGGTGGATGTTTTGAACCTTCTGATGGAATCCCACAGCGCTCACCGGGGTGTGTCTTCACTCAACACGTCGCAGCAGCGTTGGACTTGCCCGTGAGCCGTGTTTCTCGAGTTCTGCAGTCATTGTGGTATAACAGCCAAGGGTAGCCATGACATTTAGCTGTGTAGCCCCTTCGGCTGCTCAAGTGTAGTGTTGGGAGTTGAGCGCTTGTGACTGAGGTCAGGCGGCTCAGAAAGACTACCATGTTGATAGTCTGGCCCTGTGCCGAAACCGTTATTGCAGGTCTTCTGCAGTCCACTGATCCCTGAGTGAGTGTGCTCTTGCTTTGGGGATTCCCAATTCTTGACTTGGACATCCTTGGATACCCCGCGGTGTGTGTGGGCAGTGAGTGTATCTTCAGTTAACTAGAAAATGCCCCCCCCCTTTTTCTCACATGGTTGTTACTTCACTGACGCCTGTCTGTGAC